TGCCCAATGGGCTCGGACGCAGGCGGTCGATCAGCAGCAGGCGGCCTGCGGTGGCGTGGGGTTAAAGTGTGGGTACTCTCCCACCTCCTCTGAGAAGTCTCGCAAGCGTGGAAGAGTTGGCCAAAAGTACCCACGGGGCTGGGGACTCTCGTAAGAGTGGGGAAGGCCGTTCCAACGGCAGTGGAGCGAGCGAGGCATTGCACGGCCGCGCCTTTGCCATTCTCCCGCCGTGTGCATCGTTGCGTTTCGGCTTTCTTGCCGCGTCTCTCCACGCAGGCGATTTCATTAAGCCACAGGTCACTCCGCTGCTTTGGCTCCGTGAACAGATTACGTCGTGGTGGTGGGGGGGTGGGGTCGGGCGGCTTATTAAAGTTCGTATATTTTCTCTGTGTCTGCCGCCCTCTGCGAGATTATGTTTGGGAAGGAAGTGTGAGGATCAGATAAGCGAGGGCCCCCCTCTCCCCTCTCTCTTGAATTCAGACTTTCCCGTGGCGTTCCCTGCCAGGCGTCGTGCAGGATACGGTCGTGTGGAGAGCAGCTAATTGTCATGGCCCTGTGGAGCCGTTTGAAGTTCTCAAACGTTGGACGGAGCCCAAGTGACCAGGCCATTTGATCTCCCCCTGCCCACGGATGAGATGGGACCCAACCCTGCTGTGTTTTGATCTCTCGCCCCCCTCCTCCTCCTCTCTCCCAGCTCTCTCGAGCCACGCTTTACTCTCTCACACCTCCCACTCATTCGCTCGGTTTGCTCACTCAACTCCCCCACAGGCAGTTCTCACCTTTCCCCGCTCTCTAACCTCGTCTCTTCCGATCTGTGGATGCCACCATTGGCATCTCGCTGCTAATCCACGCTCTTCTCACACTCGCCACTCTGTCCTACTGTCTCTCTTTCTCTCTCTGACCCCCACTTTTGCAAAACCGCCCCAACCACATCAGCCAATTTTCTCTGTCCATGAATCGCAGGTGTTATAAGGCCTGTGACCACTAACTCCTTCTGGACATCTGTGAAAAAGCGACGTATAGTTAATCGGATTCCTCCAGTTTAAACAAATATTCTGATTCTTTACAATCACCACCACGCGCCACCACTCACTAACATTCACCACACTCCCCATCGCTCCCCACCACTCATTACCACTCACCACCATTCACTACCACTCACCACCACACACTACCACTCACTAACATTCACCACACTCACCACCATTCACTAACATTCACCACACTCCCCACCGCTCGCCACCACACACTACCACTCACTAACATTCACCACACTCACCACCATTCACCACCACTCACTAACATTCACCACACTCCCCACCGCTCACCACCGCTCGCCACTACACGCGCTCGCACTTGCAGGCTCACCCACCCCCAACTGCATGAGCGCCGTGGTGGTGGTGGCGGCAGCGTCCGGGGTGCTCACCCTGCCCCCTCTCAGCTCCCCCCCCTCAGCCCCCCCCCCTCAGCTCCCCCCCCCCTCATTTGTTCTCTGTCTGAGTCAGCTCGGTTTGAAGTCCCTCCTCTGAAGCGCGCTTTCATGAACGATTTAATAAAGACACAAAAATCGAAAGAAAAAAAAACGCGCACAAAGCGGTCCGTGTGGGGATCGCCGCGTTCGCGAGATCGAGTTCGGACCTCGAGATGAAAATCCCCGCCTCTTTGTTCTCAAAGTGCTCCCGGGTCACAGACTTCAGTGGAGACGGACGGAGACGCATACAGAGAGAGAGATCTTTGTGATCCGCGATTATCTCAGAAGCAAAGGTCCCCCAGCTCCGATTTGAAACGCTCGGTTTCTCCACTCGCCTGGTTCGCTTGCCTCGCCTGCCTGGCTCGCCTGGATTGCGTGGCCTGCTTGGCCTGTGTAGTAGTTGCTACTGGCCTGTGTAGTAGCGGCTACACGTGCTAAACGCTTCCAAGCTATCAATTCCGGTTCGGTGATTCTGCACTTGCTCTTACTATAGTACTAGACCACCTTCAACTTTTGTGAACGACCGGGTGTTTAAGGTTAGCGATTTGTCGTATTATCTGGCTGTATAGCAAATGAAAAAATACAATTACTTTAGTATATGCAAGATAAACATTTGTGTTTTAATATTTGTGTTTTTAGGGCCTCTTTATAACATTTGCTACGGGCCCCGCACGAGCTTCATCCGGCACGGAGTACAGCGGCTGCCCTCCTGGGAAATCCATCGGTCTCTTTTTACCGCCCCCCACCCCTCTCCCGGGACATGAAGCCACCCACCGGTTGTTGTGCCGGTTGCATCGCGACAACAACAACAAAGAGACGATTCGTGCACATGCAGTCAGTCGTCCGTGTTAGCTGCCACCCTGTGGTCGTCTCTCTTGAGCCCACGACACGTGCCGCCTTTCATTTTTGATTTGCCATCTCGGAGTGGGGGGTTGGGGGGCTGCGTGGGGTGGGGGCTCCGTGGGGTGGGGTGGGGGCTCCGTGGGGTGGGGGGCTCCGTGGGGTGGGGTGAGCGAGAGACGTCGTCTGTGCCTCGCGTGGTGGCTTTGCCACCACCACCGCCGCACGTAAATCGCCGACAGGCGCCTCACTGCTTTGTGGAGCTCAACTTAAACGCCGCTTCTGCAGAGAGCGCCGGAGAGCCTCGCAGCAATCGTTAAGCGCCGATTTAAAAAAAAAAACCCCACCTTGACTGCAAGGTCCTTGCTTAGGCTCTCCGTGGAAGCGCTCGGCACTCAAGTAGCCAAACGAATGTTAGACTTGCGTACAGATTGTCCCCCGTACCCAGGGCTTGATTTCCCACCGATTGTGTTTGTTGGTCGCTGGAAGACCGTGGTCGTAACCAGAGCCATAGCGAGGGGCAACGGTGGATGCGGTGTTGGGGATATATTTTGTCGTACGATGTGCTGGCCCAGCTAGATTCGGTTGAATCACCATCTGACTTGACCGCGAAGTGGATTTGTCCAGTTTCTCGTGACGATGATTAAATGGAATGTCTCCGTGGCAAGGCATCATGGGTAGACCCACAATGCTTTGCACGCCCTCTGCTGGTTTGCATGCGCACAGCAACATCTGCCGACCTGCCATCACGTGTACAACATCAACACGTTCCGACCGATTATCCCGTCGTGTCGTCTGTCGTGCGCGTATTTAATCTTAATTCTACAAATTTGAAAGAAAAAATAAATACTCGCAAATTGCTCCTTTTGAATATACGCAGCAATCAACGGCCCCTACTGAGAAAACTTGGCAGGACCCTCCCGAAAAAGTCCCGAGACTCGGCGAGGCAATGCCTGGGCTTGCATTATTATTGATATTTCTCTACTGTTGGACCTGCTCCAATAGTTTGCCGCTGATGGGGTTCCATCACCTCATTTTAATGGGTCGCGTTTCCTGCGACGACACGACAGCACACGCGGTCGCATTTCGACGCCGTGTCAATGTAAATTGCTTATTGCTCGGTCATTGTAATTTGGGCTTCAGGGTTGCCGAGGGTGAGGCCGATCGAGTCCGCCGGGGGTCAGGGCCTCCCCGCGGCCGGGCGCGGCCGCCGCTGCCACGGTGGGCGCGGTTTGATTTTGCGGATCGTGGGTGGCCGAAGGGTTTCCTGCTACGGCCTCCCGACAGCTCTCCCGCACAGCGGCGAGCGGGCGCCCTTACGGGCGCATGGGAAAGTGAATGGGTCCACCATCTGTGAGGGCAGTGAATGGGTCCACCACTTGGTAGGGCAGTGAATGGGTCCACCACTTGGGAGGGCAGTTGTGCACAGAGTGTGGTTAACAGATTTACCACCTTGGAATGTGGTTTTGCTGAGTCTAAGTTGTGCTTGGTGGTTGTGAGTGAAGGGTGGTTATGTCAATGTGTGCGTGGCTGTGCGCAAGCATCTGTTGGCGTGCGTGCGCCGTGCGTCTGCATAGCTCCCAGCTGGACTGATGGAAGCGGGAGGCTGCCGATGTTTAAACCCCTCCGCCGTTGGGTTACAAAATCAGCAGGTCGACAGAGTAGGCCAAATATCCTCTCTAGAGCTCCTTCTGGTCGAGGCCCTTCCGCCAGCGGTATCGTGAGCGAGCAATCGCAGGGCTGGACCGTCACCTTTTTGTCGTTTAAATCGGTTGCGTTGGCAAGTTTCCATTGGCACACACACACACGCGCACACACACACACGTGTGTGCGTTTATGAGAGCTTATGGGGGCTATGTGATTCATGCATTCTCCTCTGAAAGGTTTATTTTTAATGGGAAATTGCTCCTCGGGCATGGAAAGATTGCCGCAATCCAATTTGCCTCCCATTTAATTGGAGGTGGGGGTGGTGGTTGGGGGGTGATGGAACGGTGGCGCAGTGGTTAGCGCACTGGCTGCGCTATGAACCCCGGCAACCTGCGTTTGATTCCCTCTCCACGGCTGATGTCAGTGGCGAGCGATATCCAAAGTGGTCCACTTCACCCACCAACACGCGCTGGCCAGCGTCGCCAACACGGCCTGGGGGAGGCCTCTTTATCCGGCCGTCGACAGAGGGGGCTGCCAACTATTTTATTGTCCGGCTCTCCATCGCGTGTTGAGGTTGCGCCGTGTGTTGTCCGGCACGGTGATTTGGGCATCGCGAGAGATGTGCGTCGCCAGAGTTCTCCGCGGGGCCGACCGTGAAACTCTACGCGGCAGACTTTGGTGCTGTTGCTCTGCGCAAGTTGGTCGGGGCCTGTGGGGTGCTTTGCCTGGTTTCGCAGGAATAACGATGAAGGAATAATGAAGGAATGATGAAGGCAACTGCCGAGTGTGGCTCTCACGGCTGAGTCTGGCATGTGTGTGTGCCCCAGTGAACCGGTTCTGGGCCTCCCCTAGGTCGACTCAGCCTCAAATGAGTACCTGGTGCGGTGTGCAAACATCGCCACTCCGGAGACAAAGACGGCCGGGCGTGGTGCTGGCCACCCGCCCCCTCATGCGCTGTACCTTTCATAGGTGCTCGCTAACAGCACTTGCCCCAACAGTCTGTTAAGGCGATACGGAGGATCTTTGTCTTTGTGCCCCACAGCGCAAAGCCAACGGCCAGGCCCTGCTCAACGCGACGTACAGCCACCTCAACCTCTCCGAGAGCGACTACTTCAGCCTCGAGTTTGTCGACCGCACGGGCAGCCTGGTGAGTACGCACGCACGGGCTCGGATACGTACGCACACGGGCTGCGCCGTCGGGCACACATGGGTTAATGTACACACACGCATTGGCTACGATGTACACACACACACACACACGTCGGCTGGAGGGCACACGTAGGATAGGGAACATGTGGGCTGGAGGGCACACACATGGGTTAATGTACACACACGCATTGGCTACGATGTACACACACACACACACGCACGTCGGCTGGAGGGCACACGTAGGGATAGGGAACATGTGGGCTGGAGGGCACACACATGGGTTAATGTACACACACGCATTGGCTACGATGTACACACACACACACGCACGTCGGCTGGAGGGCACACACATGGGCTACGAGATGCACACTTTGCCGTTCCGCCGCCTTCTCCTGGCAAGCCAGAGTGTGGCACCTCCTCGACAGCACCGGACGGGGAGTTTGGCAACATTCACGCGATCCACCGACCCTCGCTTCCCTCCGCGGGGCTTGGATTCCAGGCAGCCACGTGCGTAGCCACCACCTCCCGCCTGAACGCGCACAAAGACACGCACGTGCACACGGATACGGGTGCAAACAGATGGGTTAGAGGGGGGGTCGGGGTTGTTTTCGGTTATTGGTGCAACGTGTTAGGATGCGGTGGCATTCGGCCGCTATGTGAACCACCCGAGCGATCCGCTGGCCCTTGGTGGTTTCACGGTAAAGACGTGACCGTGGCGGCGACTCGTCAACGGTGGCCTCGCGATCGCTCACCGGCGGAGAGACTTGCCGTCCGTTCCCCGGCACACAGTGCAGGTCAGCACAGTCCCAAGTGATTTGCTGCGCAAACGAGCGTTGAGTATTCGGCGCTGTACATTTCCGCGCGACGACGAGCCACTTCGTTGAGCGATCATTTGTGACGGCCAGGTCGCTTCTGAAAAAGAGCTGTATAGCTCAGTGGGGCTTACCTGGAAAAAGACACAAGTTAAAAATAGTTTAAACCTACGCCCGTCGACGAGACATCGAGGTGATAATAAATGGAACTCGTGCGTATAGCGGACCGCGCGGGGGTGACGCGGGGTGGGGAGGCGACGTGGATGGCGGCGTCTGATAAAAACCGCTTCAATCGCCGGGGTGCGACCTTTCCATTGGAGCAAGGAGAACGGGAGGAGTGGGGGGGGGGGGCAAGCCCCGGGCTTCGGTGCCCAAGCCCCACGCTGGTTTCACCTTCAGAGTCAGTTGAGCGATAAATCCGATGCGCTATAAAGCTCTTCTTCATAGATGTCCAGGAGGCCTGGGTCAGAAACGTTACAATTCTTGTCGGGGGAGAGGTAATTAATTAGCGGGGCGTGTGGGCGCTTTCCCGCCCCCAGCGCCCCCCCCCCCCAACTTCGGATGGATGAATTCCTGTCTCTCTGTACCCCCCCCCCCCCCCCGCTTCTCCGCAGGTCTGGCTCGACCCGCTGAAGACGGTCGTGAAGCAAGTCAAGAGTGAGTGTGGGCATCCGCCCGGTTCTGCCAGGCTGCTCGCTATCCCCCGTGACGCAGCTCTGGCACTCCGTTGTTGGTCTTCGTCCGCGGTTTAAAAATCGGTTCAGAGCGGAGGTCCTCGTCCCTCCGCGAGTCGGGGGGGGGGCGAGTAAAAAGCCTTTTCGGTCGCAAACACTCGTGACATACAGCAAGAATGGCCTGGGCTCGATTCCTGACCCAGATGGCCTTTTTGCGTGGAGTTTGTATGTTCTCCCTGCAGTTTCCCGTCTTTAGCTAAAAAAAAAAAACGCTGTGACCGGCATCGTCCAAACATCCCAGCGCTCAGAATGAGAATCTTTATTTTAATCCTGAAGGAATCCAACGAGCTGATAGAGCTCTTGTTCACAGATGTCCAACGCTGAAAATACTGTACCTGCAAATTACTCAGTTTGGGATCGGGCACAATAGCAACGTCGCCCCCTACTGCGAAAAACTTGCTAGGAACCTCCTGAAAAAGAGTTGAGGCTCAGTGAGGCTATCATGCGTAAACAAACAGTAACAATAACAATACGGATTTTACACGCGCAACATCGCATTTAAATCCGGAGCAATGCAGCGCCGGTGCTGATGCTGCCGCTTGTGCCTCCTCTCGTTGTGCCCAGAGCCCAAGAACACCGCCTTCAAGTTCGCCGTGAAGTTCTTCCCTCCGGAGCCCGGCCAGCTGCACGAAGAGCTCACCAAGTGAGTGTGCACGTCACACTACCAGGGTCACCGGGGGCACCAGATGACCAGCCAACCAGGCCACCAAGTTACAAGCCAATTAGGTCACCAGCCAACAAAGCCATCGAACCACAAGACTACCACAGGCCACCTGGCCACCAAGCTTCCAGACAAACCAAATTACCAGATCACCAGACCACCAGACAACCAAGTCACCAGGTCACGAGGCCACCAGCCAACCAGGTCACCACATCACTAGCCAACCAGGTCACCGTGATACCAGACGTGGCCGAGTAGTTCAGGGGGCTGATGCCATTTCCAGAGTGCTCGGCCGTTGTCAGAGAGTACGTATTATCCGCGAATATTTGGTCCTGAATATTTGTTAATTGGTCTCCACGAGTCCAGTGAACCAAGGGAAAAGACCTCGGACCAGACGATGGGCCGAGTCATTGTCCAGCCAGGATGTGAACTCGCAACCTTCCGATTGTGAGCTGCTCACTCTACCGCTGAGTCACCTGGGCGGTTTTAATATTGGTCTGGAAATACAAATATATGCTGATGGACCAAACCATGGTTTTGTTTGCATGTGGAGACACAGAGCCCAAGTCTGCTTACAATTGTATTTGCCCACGCGTACAAGTTTTGTCTGAAATGCAGCGATTTCTTATCTCGGAGTGGATTGGCTCGCGGGAGGAGTGGGAGCGCCACATTGCGCATCCCCGACCGCTTAATTCCTGGCCGCGTGGCCACGAGCGGTAACGACGATCGGCCACGTTAAGCGCTCAGGATGATTTCCCCCGTGAGAGGGATTTATTGAGAGGGATAAGATTTAGAGAGCCCCTTCCCTGCGCGTCTCGGGGGGGGGGGGGGGGAGCTCACGACGAAAACGGCTGTGCTGGGCGGAGTGCCGAGCCAGCCATCGCCGAGGTCCTTGGCTTTCGCGTCCCTCCTAGCAGCACGTCCTGACCCTGACCGAGCCCGCTCCACTTTTCTCGACGGTCCATACGACGCCTCGAATAACTCGCGTACGCTCGCGAATCGACGTGTGGCCGTCTTCCCGTCTCTCGCTCACGAAGAGTGCCGCCCGGGCGTCCACAGGTACCTCTTCACCCTCCAGATCCGCCGGGACCTGCTGACCGAGCAGCTGGTGTGCAGTGACAACGCAGCTGCTGCTATCGCCTCCTACTTCCTGCAGGGTGAGAGCCACGGCTGTGCTTGTGCACAGGGAGGGGAACACCCTGTAAAGGAGACGTTGCTTATGCATTTTCTGGATGTTTTAGTGTTTTGTGCATGTGTAACGACGACTTGACACACTTCTCTTGAGATGGCACTTTATTGAAGACACGTTCACTTCGACATCAAGACGGAGATCCCCACCTCAACGGCTCCGGGTTTCCCACGCGTCTCCCTTATATACCGACACGAGGCCACGCCCCCACTTCTCGATCATTCTCGCTGACTGGACGCTCGCTCCACGGTCCTCTTCCACCACCTGACCATTCTCCCTTCTCGAACATTCCTGTAGCCACCAGTCCCTTCGCACTCGCATCCCCTGTCATTACCTCCCTTGGCCACCAGTCCCCTCACACCGCATGCAGGCTCTGTTGCCATGACACAGGTTCGTGTTGCCTGGTAGGGTGCCTGCGATGTAGTGTAGTGGCCGTATGTGTGTCTATGTTGCGGATATATGTGGCTGCATGCAGTTGTGTGCGGTTAAACGCAGTTGCGTGTAGTCGCCGGTGGTTTCTTGTGGTTGCGCCGTGCTGGCTGAGCGCAACCGCCGCTTGTGCCCGCGTCTCCCAGCTGAAGTGGGCGACTGCGATGAGTCCGTGGGGCGGCAGCACCTGGAGCAGAACAAGTTCCTCCCCACGCAGGAGACCTTGGCTACCAGAATCCTGCAGCTGCACAGGGACCACTCGTGAGCATCGCACACAAAACCGGCACACTGGGCCAGGGCTGCTGTAGCCCGTGTCTCTATCCATCTCTATCCACCAAGGCTAGGCTGCCGTTAGCCTGTCTCTCCCTGGAGCTAGTCTGCATGAGCAAGGTGTGGCGTCGATGGCATTGGCCATCATGACCCTTAGTCCGCTGGAGCCTGTCTCTCTCCCTAGGGCCAGTCCTTCGTGCCCCCTGCGTCTCTGTGCCCCAGTAACCCCACCTTGTCCGCCGCGTGTGCCTGCCAGCAGGGGCCAGTCGCCGGCGGAGGCCGACTCTCAGCTGCTGGAGATCGCGCGCCGCCTCGACACGTACGGCGTGCGGCTGCACCCGGCCGTGGATAAGGAGGGCTCGAGCATCAACCTCGCAGTCACCCACTCTGGCGTCTCCGTCTTCCAGGTGAACCACCGCCACCACCACCACCACCACCACTGCTAGGGCGCAAATTTAGACGGACGGAGGACGAGTGTCCCGCGTAACGACCTCACCGCTTCTTTCGCCCGTTACCGTTACCCTATCAAGGAAATCCCCACCGAGCCTTGAGACCCGTTTTCATTCGCCGATGTCGCCGTCCGATGACAATTTTCTATTCCCTATTCTGGGCACGGGGGGAGCCGTGCAGTGCAGCTTTTTTTGAGATGGGCACCGAGTCCCTGCCACCTGTATCCCTCGGACCCTCTACCCAGCATTCACTGCTGCGCTGCACCGCGAATATCCTAGATTTTTATTTTCGTTGCCAGAGGTGGAATTTTTGTTTGCCAAATGAAGGTAAAAAAACCAGTTATGTCTTTGGTGCAGTCACTCGTGTGACTGGGCTGAGGGATAGACTTATTTGCGTCAGTATTTGCCTGCAGTACATTTTAACATGAGCCACTTCGTTGAGCGATCATTTGTGGCCAGGTCGCTTCTGAAATAGAAGTGAATAGCTCACTGGGCTTTACCGGGTAAAATAAAAATTGTTTTAATTTATTTGCGTCTAGTGCAACTTTCTGATCCGCCTCTACTGGACATCTGTGAGAAATAGCTTCATAGCTCATCAGATTTCTCCAAGATAAATAAATATTTGGACACTTCAGAACCCGGATGAAACCCAGAATTCAAACTCAGGGTCTCAGTTTTAACGTCTGTTCAGCGTCTCTGTAACACGGCACGAGCTCTCCGAGCCACCAGACCGTCTCACGACCTCAGTGTTTAGACGTTTGGCAAGCGCCTGTTAATTTCAATCTGATTATGCCTGCATGCATTGGGTAAAATTGTTTGCAAAGCAGCGTATAATTACGTCTCAAAATAACTCTGCCCGCATCCTTGCCCCCTTAGCGCTCCTCCTCTCCCTCGTTGTCCCTGCTGGTCCGCACCACAAATGGTACAGATTGTACTGATCCGGCGGCTAAACAGCGCCACTATTTGGAAGATTACGAGTTCAGATACCGGCCGCAGGTCGACTCAGCCGATCATCCCTTCTGCGGTGCGTAAAGTACGTACTACCACTTTGTGGGAGTCGGCGGCGGCATCGTCCTTTCTCGTTATCCGTCGCCTCTCAGCCTTCGCGTCCACCCACCTACTACCCTGTAAACCGATTCGATTGACGCCGTATCGATATTCGTCGTCGCGCCTTTCAGGAACGCATCCCCCGCTGGCACTCCAGCGGATGCCCTGGAGTTGCCGAAACGGTGAATCTGCGCGCTCGCGCGTACCGTCTGTCGTTGGTGTGTGTGCGTGCGCACGTTTCTTGGCCCGCATTTGCAGAGCGCCACCAGAATCAACGCCTTCAACTGGGGCAAGATCCGCAAGCTGAGCTTCAAGAGGAAACGCTTCCTCATCAAGTTCCATCCGGACTGCGAGGTCAGGCGCCCCCACCCACCCATCACCCATCACCCCCCCACACATCCCAATACCCCCCCCCCACACACATCACCCCCTCCACCTTCACCCCGCCCACCCCATCCATCACGCCCCCCCCACCCATCACGGCCACGGATGCAAACGGCACTCGCCGGGAGACCTGGGACTAACGCTAATCCACTGCTGGATGAGGGCCCCTGTTCATGGCTGCTCGCTCGCAGCACTTGTCAAAGCAGCCTGTGTGGGCTACGCGGGGGGAACTTTGCCCGTGAGTATGCGTGCTCACTTGTGTCTCTGTTTCCATGTGTCCATGTCCCGTTACCTGGTGTGCGCTGCATCTCTGTCTCTCCCCGCGTATCTCCCCGCGTGTCTCCCCCGCGTGTCTCCGTGTCCCCCCGCGTGTCTCCATCCCCCCGCGCGTGCAGGGTAAGTACCGCGACACGCTGGAGTTCATCATGAAGAGTCGCGACGCCTCCAAGCTCTTCTGGAAGAACAGCGTGGAGTACCACGCGTTCTTCCGCCTCCTGGAGCAGCCCCCGCTCAAGCCCAAGCCCGTCCTCTTCAGTCGCGGCTCCTCCTTCCGCTACAGGCGAGTCCGGGGGGCCGCCCTCGCGCGAGTCCGGGGGGGGGGCCTCCAGTGCCGGTCGCGTCTCGTTCGCCGTCGCGTTGTCGTGCCCGTGCCGCGCCGACGAGCTGCAAGACGGCGAACTAGTCCCGGCTGCCTTTGCGGGGGTCACCCGCGGGTAACCCGGCCCCTGAGGCGGAAATCTAGCCAGGGGCGCGCCCATGTGGTGTTGTGGCCTCTTTAGTGAAACTTCATGGGGGAGTGGCTTAGAATTTGGCCAATCAATTCTTTATTTCCATAGCGCTTTCGTGCAAATAATGCCATTTAAAATGAGATGCTACGATATGTGTCTCGGCGGGCGGTCAGACCAGGCGATTCGAATGTTTACGTATATTTATTGTAAAGATCTGTGAATGTTTTTTTTTTACTGAATCCATTGTGTCCCAGCTATGACATGGCAAGCTGTGTTGCGGCGAATGTGAACACGCGGTGTTCCCACCCTGTCTGTGTTCAGCGGGAGGACCCAGCGACAGCTGGAGGACACCGTGAGGAGCAGCGTCAGCAAGGGCTGCGTGGCCTTCGAGAGGTGAGGTCCCCAGCACGGACCGAGTGTGAGTTTCACCCAGCGGGGTACCGAGTGTGAGTTTCACACAGCGGGGACCGAGTGTGAGTTTCACCCAGCGGGGGACCGAGTGTGAGTTTCACCCAGTGGGGACCGAGTGTGAGTTTCACACAGCGGGGACCGAGTGTGAGTTTCACTCAGTGGGGACCGAGTGTGAGTTTCACTCAGTGGGGACCGAGTGTGAGTTTCACCCAGCGGGGGACCGAGTGTGAGTTTCACCCAGCGGGGACCGAGTGTGAGTTTCACTCAGTGGGGACCGAGTGTGAGTTTAACCCAGCGGGGACCAAGTGTGAGTTTCACCCAGCGGGGGACCGAGTGTGAGTTTCACTCAGCGGGGACCGAGTGTGAGTTTTACCCAGCGGGGACCGAGTGTGAGTTTCACTCAGCGGGGACCGAGTGTGAGTTTCACTCAGCGGGGACCGAGTGTGAGTTTCACTCAGCGGGTCCGAGTGTGAGTTTCACTCAGCGGGGACCGAGTGTGAGTTTCACACAGTGGGGACCGAGTGTGAGTTTCACCCAGCGGGGACCGAGTGTGAGTTTCACTCAGTGGGGACCGAGTGTGAGTTTCACTCAGCGGGGACCGAGTGTGAGTTTCACCCAGCGGGGACCGAGTGTGAGTTTCACTCAGTGGGGACCGAGTGTGAGTTTCACACAGTGGGGACCGAGTGTGAGTTTCACTCAGCGGGTCCGAGTGTGAGTTTCACACAGCGGGGACCGAGTGTGAGTTTCACACAGTGGGGACCGAGTGTGAGTTTCACACAGTGGGGACCGAGTGTGAGTTTCACTCAGTGGGGACCGAGTGTGAGTTTCACACAGTGGGGGACCGAGTGTGAGTTTCACTCAGCGGGGACCGAGTGTGAGTTTCACTCAGCGGGGACCGAGTGTGAGTTTTACCCAGCGGGGACCGAGTGTGAGTTTCACTCAGCGGGGACCGAGTGTGAGTTTCACTCAGCGGGGACCGAGTGTGAGTTTCACTCAGCGGGTCCGAGTGTGAGTTTCACTCAGCGGGGACCGAGTGTGAGTTTCACACAGTGGGGACCGAGTGTGAGTTTCACCCAGCGGGGACCGAGTGTGAGTTTCACTCAGTGGGGACCGAGTGTGAGTTTCACTCAGCGGGGACCGAGTGTGAGTTTCACCCAGCGGGGACCGAGTGTGAGTTTCACTCAGTGGGGACCGAGTGTGAGTTTCACACAGTGGGGACCGAGTGTGAGTTTCACTCAGCGGGTCCGAGTGTGAGTTTCACACAGCGGGGACCGAGTGTGAGTTTCACACAGTGGGGACCGAGTGTGAGTTTCACACAGTGGGGACCGAGTGTGAGTTTCACTCAGTGGGGACCGAGTGTGAGTTTCACACAGTGGGGGACCGAGTGTGAGTTTCACTCAGTGGGGACCGAGTGTGAGTTTCACACAGTGGGGACCGAGTGTGAGTTTCACACAGCGGGGACCGAGTGTGAGTTTCACACAGCGGGGACCGAGTGTGAGTTTCACACAGTGGGGGACCGAGTGTGAGTTTCACACAGCGGGGACCGAGTGTGAGTTTCACTCAGCGGAGACCGAGTGTGAGTTTCACACAGCGGGGACCGAGTGTGAGTTTCACACAGCGGGGACCGAGTGTGAGTTTCACTCAGTGGGGGACCGAGTGTGAGTTTCACCCAGCGGGAGACCGAGTGTGAGTTTCACCCAGTGGGGGACCGAGTGTGAGTTTCACACAGCGGGGACTATTCGGGTGGTCTTGAAGTTTTGACTTTTGACGTGTCCCTACCTGTGGAACTTAGTTTTTTTACATTAAGGAATGTGTTGGTATATTCATAATACCACGTTGTTTACATGACAAACCCTACTGGCTGTGTCGGGTGGTGGAAGGTTATGACACATTTATACTAACGCGATCTAAACCAAAAAACTTTATTATGAATAATATTGGTCGCCAAAGCCGTAGTAAAAATGGGGTTACGTGGTTTGTGTGTGTGCCTCAAATGAGTACCTGGTGCGTTGTTTAAACATCGCCACTTGGAAGACAAAGGCGTCCGGGCGTGGTGCTGGCCACCCACCCCATCGTGTGCCGTGCCGGCCTTCATAGGTGCTGCCTTAACAGCACTTGCTCCAATAGTCTGTTAAGGCTACACGGGGGATCTGTCTTCGTGTGCATGTTTGTGACAATCTACGAGCCCTTGTCTCTCATCATCTTCGCCCACACGCCGCCGCCGCGCGCCAGATATCCTGGCTCAGGGGCCCGGCTTCTCTACAGGAACCACGCGGCAGAGTTCCTCGCCGAGAGAGAGAGGGACGTGCCGGCAGGGTGGCCGGTGCTCGTTAGTATTTTGACCCCTGTGGAATTCAGACCCCCGCGGTTTGATAGCTATTTAGTATTTTAACTCCTAAGGGTCCAAACGCTATGGGGTGAAACATTATCTCACACCGCCACGAGAAGCCATTGCTTCGTGTCGTCAGATTTTCCTATATTCGCCGCTTGAGCCGGTGTCGCATGAAAGCTATATATTGGTAAATGTATTAATGAATTTCTTATCACTCTTGCACCGACTAAAAAATTCTATTTTCTAAAATCTATTCTTTGCCCACCAGGAGGCAGTGGGGACCCACGTGGTAGACTTAGAAATGTGCCTGTTATGATATTGATAGTTTGTTTTGAAAGGATAAAATTCTGGATTTTAGGGCACTTCAATGGCTCAGAAAATCAAAGCGCCTTGCATCCAATCTCTTCTCAACCATACTAATGCCATGCTGTAGTCTAGCCTAGGGGCTCCCCAGAGGCAGCTGTCCCTGTGTGGCACAATATGAATGGAGCACCGGCTTGAAAGAGTCTGTCAGTAGGCGGCAATGTTTCTGTACGTTTTTTCCCAATACAGAAATGTGTAAGTTATTGATCAAATTTGGCGAATTTGGACCGCGAGGCCACATTTTAACTGCAGTGCGTCCCGTGCTGTGTGCCAACAGCCGTCTCCCTCGTTCGGTACGTTCTGTGTTGTGTGCCGATCGTGCTTTGTATTCCTTGTCGGCGTCTATGCCGAGTTGTCTGCTCACCTGTGGGTAGTTAGCGTTGTTCCCATTTCCCTGGCCGCCACGTGCTCGCCATCGCTCGCTTCCCGTCCACAGGCGGAGCAGTCGCCCCCGCGCCTCCCCGAGAAGCCCAGGACTCAAGGCTGCCTCCCAGCTCACCCAGACACCCAGCACACAGGTCTGTCTAAGCCACACGCAGGTCTGTCTAAGCCACACGCAGGTCTGTCTAAGCCACACGCAGGTCTGTCTAAGCCACACGCAGGTCTGTCTAAGCCACACGCAGGTCTGTCTAAGCCACACGCAGGTCTGTCTAAGCCACACGCAGGTCTGTCTAAGCCACACGCAGGTCTGTCTAAGCCACACGCAGGTCTGTCTAAGCCACACGCAGGTCTGTCTAAGCCACACGCAGGTCTGTCTAAGCCACATGCAGGTCTGTCTAAGCCACACGCTGGTCTGTCTAAGCCACACGCAGGTCTGTCTAAGCCACACGCAGGTCCGATAAGGCCACACACAGGTACGGTTAGGCTCGTGTCTCTCAACTCCTTGATTTGAAAATGTTTGTAAACATGTTATTGTGTTTGCTGTCACATGATACCCTGGGCGCCCTTGAAAATGAGATTACCCAGGTAAAATATTTTAGTAAATAACAGTGACGAACCCACAGCCCCGCTTTCTTTTAGCCACCAATATTTCCTCTTCATATGAACCCACCGCACACACCCGATGGTTGCTAATCGCAGAAAGTTGTGCCGTGGGGACGTCCGCACAAACCCCAAGCGGGGGCGGTGCGAGCCGCACACGTCATCAGGTGACGAACCTGCTCACGTGCTTGGTCATTTGGTGAGCCCAGGGGGGGGGGGGGGTGGGGGGAGACGTCGTGAGATCGACGATCGTGGCAGTGGAGGCCTGCCGCCTAGGGGGGTCTGGCCGAGCGGCAGAGTCCCGGGCCCGCGTGTGGTGAGCTGGCGTGCGTGCGCGTGTGGTGAGCTGGCGTGCGTGCGCGTGGTGGTGAGCTGGCGTGCGTGCGCGTGGTGGTGAGCTGGCGTGCGTGCGCGTGTGGTGAGCTGGCGTGCGTGCGCGCGTACTCGTCTGTGCGTGGCTGCAGAGCGGCGGCACCGCCGCTCGGCTTGGCGAGGAGGAGGAGGAGGAGGTGCTCGCGTGCGCGTCCCGGGCCGTCGTCGCGAGCGAGGTGGAGGGCGCGAGGCCGGACACCTCGGGCGGCTCCACGCCACACGCACAGCGCGCCGCCGGGCCGTCTGGAGAGCACCAGGGGCTTGCGCAGCACGCGGGCGGTACGCAGGGCCCGCCGGCAGATACTCGCTCACCTGTACACACGAGAGCCTCACCGAGTCTCAAGACTCTTTTTGAGGAGGGTCCTGCCAAGTTTTGTCGTCGAGGTCGGGGAGCGATGCTGCTGCTGTGATCCCAACCGAATAATTTGCAGGTCACCTTTCAGCATTGCGATGACGCTTTACCAATATAACAAGTCACGTGGTCTGATTCTTGTCTTTAGCGTTGTTTAACTTTGACAATGCCCAATGCTGGCTATGCCGACGTGCCTGTCTGTATCAGCCCTGTCCACGTGCCCTTGCGGGATAAGACTCCGCGGAGAGCTGCAATAGGGTCATTGCAAACTAAACTCTTGAAACGAATTTATGTATTTTTCCAGGTGAGGCCCACTGGAGCTATGTGGCTCTTTTTCAGAAACGACTTGGCCATCACAAACGATAGCTCGACCAAGTGGCTTGATCACCTGGACCTTTATGGCAGCCAAAAACTCTTTAAGCGCGCGTTTCTAAATGACGGCGCCCCCATCCCGTCCACGTGAGCACCAGCTGTGACAGAATGCACCCGTGGCAGCGGTGAGGGTTGGCTGTATTCGGCTAACGCCCGTACGTGCCGTGTGTCTGCAGCTCGGGAGGTGGGGGTCCCGCAGCCGGCGAAGGCGCCGGTGAGGTCGCCGGGGGGGGGCACGTTCCCTCCGGAGCTCTCGTCTCCGCTGCTGAGCCCGGACTCGGTGACGAGCAAAAACGAGGAGGATGAGGATGCGACGAGGAAGGTGGAGGGAGCACCCTAGCACCGCTCACTCGATCACTCGCGCACACTCGTTCAGTTAAACACTCGCCCACGCACCCACACACTCGTTCAGTTAAACACTCACCCATGCACCCACAACAACCGCTAATCGCCACCAAGTGGTGGTGACGTCACCACGGCGCTTGTGCCAGGCTATGTGCATGTTGAGGTCACGAAGTGTCGAATGCCCACTGGTAGGTCATGGGGCAGACCCAGGTGCCACGGGTCGACTGAGATGTTTGGCCGATGCACCAACTGTGCCCCTTACTGTGCCAACTTGCACCCACACCACACATACAAACTCATTCAGTTTAACACTCACTCAGGCACGCACTCACTTGTTCAGTTAAAACACTCGCACGGACACTCACTCACACACTTGCTCACATACACTCATTCACAAAGACACTCCGCTGATTCTGTGAAACATCCACACAGACAAACGCTCATTACTCTAAACACTAACAGACACCGAATGCCAAGCTCGCGTAAGCACGCGCACAAAAACGGACGCGCTCACGCACGCATTTACCCACGCGGACGACTCGCTCTTTCACTCGTGCGTTGTATTGATCCGCACGCGGCGATGTCGGTGGTGTTGTCACAGCGGTACCCAGCGGACAAGGCGTACTTTGTGGCCAAGGAAGTTTGCACCACGGAGCGCACGCACCTCAAGGACTTGGAGGTGGTGACGGTGGTGGGTCTCACGCACGCACCGCCATCCCACACCCCCAGCACCCGGCGCAGCTCAGCGAGCCCTGTGGCCTGACCCGGGTTCACGAGCGGCGCAACGAGTTTACGGCCTCCGCCCAGTCACCGATGACTGTACAGGAAAACGCATCGCGTTGCATTTTGTTCTACACTTTAATTTGGCTACATTCCAGTTCTGGAGAATTTTAAACATCTGTTTGAATAACAATGCTCTTAATGTGTAGCCGTGTTCGCCTTGAGCATATGCCTGTGGGTTTGTGTCTGTAAATCATCATGCATACTGCGTATGTTAAGCACGTGCTAACTCGTATACCTGTGTCCCAGGAATTGGGAGTGTTGTTGCCAATGTACAAGACTTGATTCAGGCGACTGCTGATGAGACACCGTGTGTCGAAACCGGTCCAAAGATTGCTCGTCTCGAATCAACGCGGCTGACATTATGCGCTCGCAGTGCGGCTGATGGGTTGTGCAAGAGATTTTTTTTTATATATATGCGGAGTGACGGACACGTGGACGGGAGACGAACGTTGTGTCCGCTTATTTATTTTGCTTGCGTTGTGCGTGCGTTGTGTGCCGCGCGTGGCAGTGGTTCCGCAGTTTCCTGGGCAAGGACGGCCTGGTCATGGAGAGAGTTCCCTCCATGCTCTTCGCAAACATGGACCCCCTCTATGAGTTCCACCGCGGCTTCCTCAAGGAGGTGGAGCAGAGGCTCACGCTCTGGTGAGTCTAACGGCCGGCGGCCACCCGGTGACCCGGGTTCGATTCCCTGGCCGCGATGCCACAAATGGGCCTGTTTTAGGGGGGCTATTGTTGGCATTCTTCATAGGCAACACCGTTCCAAGGCATCTTGTGTAGCAGTGGCATAGAGCGACAAGAGTTCTGCTTTAGAACACCAAAGGGAAATGTCGCTGCGAATATTACCGGTGGAGATGGCTGGCTATGATTTTATTGAACACGTACAGCCCTGTGTAACGAACCCAATGGGAACCTGAGTTCAGTTCCCCACGGCGGCGAACATCATTGGTAAGTGGTATCAGAATTTATATCGGGTCTCCTCTAGATTAACTCAGCCTTAAATGACCCGGGTTCAGTTCCTGCTCAAGATCAATAACAGTAGCGAATATTTGACTGGTCCTGGGCCTCCCCTAGGTTGACTAAACCTGAAGTGAGTACCCAGTGCAGTGTGTAAACATCAGCACTGGGGAGATGACCAAGGCAGCTGGGCGTAGTTCAGGCCACACCACCCCATCACTTGCCGTGCCGGTATTCATAGGTGCTCGCGAAAAGCATTTGCCCGAAGAGTCTGCTGAAAAGGCGACAGGGGGGATCTTTGTGAATTTTGTGTGAATCTCTGCGTTGGACGCAGGGAGGGCCGGTCGAATGCTCACCTCAAGGGAGACCACCAGCGGATCGGAGACATCATGCTGAAGAACATGAATCTGCTCAAGGTCAGTCTGGGATTTTTCTTCCAGCAAAATACAATCGTGTATGCAGTGAAACGCCTCTTGCCCGTGCCTCCGATATCCTTTACCATGCCATGGATCCGACGAAAATCCTAATCGTGCTACCTGTGCCCGCATCTCCCCCAGTGTCCCCCTCCCCACCCCCCGTGTCTCCGTGCCCGCCCCCTCCGTGGCGGTGCAGCAGTGCATGGGGCAACTGCGGCAGCACGAGGCGGTGCTGGCCGAGCTGCAGGTGGAGCTCGCCACCTCCGAGCCGCTCGCCGAGTCCTGCCGCACGTTCGAGCTGCAGAGGGTAACCCCGATATCCGCTACGTAACACGACACGCGGCAATCCCGATATCCGCTATGCAACACGACACGCGGAAATCCCGATATCCGCTACGCAACACGGGTGGCCTCGCCCAGACTCTTTAACAAAACGCAGACCTCCGCTCAAAACAGGCTAACCTCACCAGACCCTAACACAGCAGCAGGGTGACCCGATGTCACCGTGGCTCAACGCAAGCAGTCTCGCCTGGCGGGCGCTCCTAACCGCGCTCCTGACGTCCCGGCAGGTGTGCTACCTGCCGCTGGCCGCCTTCCTGCTGCGGCCCCTGCAGCGGCCCCTGCACTACCGCCTGGTGCTGGAGCGGCTGTGCAAGCACTACTCGCCGGCGCACCCCGACTTCAAGGACTGCCGCGGTGAGCGACCGGGGTCGAGGGAGTGTGTGCTCGTGGGCTTAAGCGTACAGTTTAAACGTAATCGCGATCAGTAATAATAAGTCATGATTTCACATTGTACTGCTCCGCTGCCAACAACACCACCAGCACCACCACGCTGTATTTGCCCCTCGCTGTCGACGAGAGAGGGGAAGGCGGCAGCAGCAGCCGGGCAGTGAGCCGGCAATTTTGCAAGCTCTGCGGTCCTCTATATATCATGGCGTCTCTATACATTACGGTGTTATTGGCCAATTAACGAGTGCGTTTACTCATTGTTGAGCACAGGCCCAAAACGCCAAGTGGCCAGTGACAGACCGCATGATTGACGGTGTACTTGGTAACAGTTATCGCATTGGGAGGGAATTCCAGAGTCGTAGCTTTTGGAGGAGTGAGGGCTCGCGCAAGAAATTGCAGGGCTGCACCTTTGTGTGAGGGGTGCTGCATTAGCTATCCGCGCCGTGCTACACAGGCTGATAACCTGGGTTCAAATCCCGGCCATGGGTCACACCAGTGGTAAGTGTGATCTAAAGTGGTTCTGGGCCTCCGCTAGCTCAGCTAAGCCTTAGATGAGTCACTCTCCTTGGAGGAGGGGATGCCAAAGTGGAGCGGTGCACGTACGTACGTTGAACTTATTTTGCACCGTGCGAATCGTAGGCGCGAGTGTGAGGCAAGCGAGGTGGCCCGCGGTGCGGTGGTGGTTTCACAGTGCGGACGAGACAAAACGGTCCGTCTGGATTCCTCTTCAGCACTTGAGGAGGAATCAATGAGTGAATTTCACAGGAACGGTAACCACGGCAGTAGCGGGAGAGCAGTGTCGGGAGGCGACTGCCCGCCAGTGAGCGTGTCACTGGAGCGAGTGCGTCGGCCGTGCGGGCGTTTTACGCGTGGGCCACTTGGGGAAATCTTTGTCTCCGTGCGAGCAGCGGCCCTGGCGGAGGTGAACGAGGTGACGAATCAGCTGCACGCGAGCCTCATCCGCCTGGAAAACCTGCAGAAGCTGAGCGAGCTGCAGCGTGACCTCGTGGGGCTCGACAACCTCGCGTCGCCCGACCGGGTGGGCCTGGGGACACACGGACACACAGAGGCGTGGGGATCTGGGCACATGGGGCATGGGGGACATGGGGATGCAGGCACACTGAGATCTCGGGACACGGGTCACAGGGAGTTCAAGGACACGGGGATCTGAGGACACCGGGACTTAAGAGAACATGGGGACTTGGAATCATGGGGACGCAGAGACATGGAGACACGGGGAATGATGCTTCGGGCGACGGCTACCATGTCCTGCAAAGAAGGCCCATTGGCCGATAACATCGCCTCTCAGATATTTTTCCTGCCAAGGCCACCAAGTTATTGACACAACGTGTTGAGTTTTGCGCATATTTTTTAAAGGTGACCGTAGCACCGCCGCCGGGTCCGCTGACGGTCGCGTTGGCGTATCCGTGCGAGGCGCCTTGAGGCGCGGCGGCTGTGCCCTGGGCGCCCTGCTCACGGGAGTCCTCTTGCTTTTGTGCGAACCGCCCAACGTGCAGGAGTTTGTCCGCGAGGGCTGCCTCAACAAGCTCACGAGGAAGGGCCTGCAGCAGAGGATGTTCTTCCTGGTGAGCAGTCCCTCCTCTCCCCTGTCAATCAACACCCCCCCCCCCCCTTACATTCTCTCTGTCTAAATCAGCTCAAGCCTCCCGCAAGTCACGCGGTTATCTCGGTGTCGCCACTCCCACTCTGAATCCCTTCCCCGCTCTCGCCTGCCCCGTGAAAACGGACGCTGCTCCGTGCAGCTCACTTCTTCTGCTTGCTCATTCCTTTCTCTCTTCTCCCTCTCTTCTTCCCTCTCCCTCTCATCATCACGCTCTCATCATCCCTGACATCTTCTTAGCCCGGTCATTCCTTCTCCCCTTTCTACTCCACTTCCTGCCCGGCGCTCCTTCGTTCTTCCTGCTGCTCATCTTGAGACGTGGCCTCAAAGTGCCTCTCCGTCCGTCTCGATTGACGTTTGACCGTGACGAGAGGCGCCGCGCCTTTCCAAGCCCTCGCCGATGACCGTGTCACCCCCGTGACTCCGCAGTTCTCGGACCTCCTCATCTACACGAGCAGGGCGCCCACCTCCACCAACCAGTTCAAGGTTCACGGGCGGCTGCCTCTCGTCGCCATGAAGGTTCGGCCCCCAACCCCCCCCCCAAAGCCGACCCCGCCCCCGCCCCCCACTGGCGACACAGCACTCTCCTCGTGCGCGCTCGATGGAGCCACAGGGGGTCATGTGGGTTAGGGCTTGGGACAGGGCGAAGGGGGCAACGTTAGAGCACGTGGTTCAGGTTTGATGTGTGTTTAGGGGACAACACGTGCACTCTAGGTGGTGGGTTCTGCGTGCTGTCTGATACTTGTGCTGCGTGCGCTGCACAGGTGAGGGAGAGCGAGCAGGAGTTCGGCGTTCCGTACTGCTTCACCATCTCCACACCGCACAAGAGCATTGTCGTGGCAGCCAGGTGAGTGCCTTGCTCACCACTCACATCAATGTGTGCTACCTTGCCTTGCTGTGACTTTCCTAAACTGTATACCACCTTGACTTTCGAAACTGGAATTGGCCCCATGTCTCCGACGGTTTATTCCCCGGTGTTGTTGTTTGTTGTTATTGTTCGTCGTTGATGCGGGGTATGTGGTGTCATCCCAGCTCCCGTGTGGAGTTGGACAAGTGGATGGAGGACATCGCCCTGGCCATCGAGCTCATGAAGAAGTCCAACACTCACCCCAGCTCCCCGCTCGAGAACGGGTTCAGTGACAAGTTCAACCGTGAGTGTCCCAGCGCAGCAGCTCGCCACCCCAGCCATCTCACCAACCCGGCCATCTCACCACCCAGGCCATCTCACCAACCCGGCCATCACACCACCCCGGCCATCTCACCAACCCGACCATCACACCACCCCGGCCATCTCACCAACCCGGCCATCACACCACCCCGACCATCTCACCAACCCGACCATCTCACCAACCCGGCCATCTCACCACCCCGACCATCACACCACCCCAACCATCTCACCAACCCGGCCATCTCACCAACCCGGCCATCTCACCACCCCGACCATCTCACCACCCCGGCCATCTCACCACCCCGGCCATCTCACCACCCCGGCCATCTCACCAACCCGGCCATCTCACCACCCCGGCCATCTCACCAACCCGGCCATCTCACCAACCCCGACCATCTCAACAACCCCGATCATCTCACCAACCTGGCCATCTCACCAACCCGGCCATCTCACCACCCCGACCATCTCACCACCCCGGCCATCTCACCCCCCCGGCCATCTCACCACCCCGGCCATCTCACCACCCCGGCCATCTCACCACCCCGGCCATCTCACCACCCCGACCATCACACCACCCCGACCATCTCACCAACCCGGCCATCTCACCACCCCGACCATCTCACCAACCCCGATCATCTCACCAACCCGATCATCTCACCAACCCGGCCATCTCACCACCCCAGCCATCTCACCACCCCGACCATCACACCACCCCGACCATCTCACCAACCCGGCCATCTCACCACCCCGACCATCACACCACCCCGACCATCTCACCAACCCGGCCATCTCACCACCCCGACCATCTCACCAACCCCGATCATCTCACCAACCCGATCATCTCACCAACCCGGCCATCACACCACCCCGGCCATCTCACCAACCCGACCATCACACCACCCCGGCCATCTCACCAACCCGGCCATCACACCACCCCGACCATCTCACCAACCCGACCATCTCACCAACCCGGCCATCTCACCACCCCGACCATCACACCACCCCAACCATCTCACCAACCCGGCCATCTCACCAACCCGGCCATCTCACCACCCCGACCATCTCACCACCCCGGCCATCTCACCACCCCGGCCATCTCACCACCCCGGCCATCTCACCAACCCGGCCATCTCACCAACCCGGCCATCTCACCAACCCGGCCATCTCACCAACCCCGACCATCTCAACAACCCCGATCATCTCACCAACCTGGCCATCTCACCAACCCGGCCATCTCACCACCCCGACCATCTCACCACCCCGGCCATCGCACCACCCCGGCCATCTCACCACCCCGGCCATCTCACCACCCCGGCCATCTCACCACCCCGGCCATCTCACCACCCCGACCATCACACCACCCCGACCATCTCACCAACCCGGCCATCTCACCACCCCGACCATCTCACCAACTCCGATCATCTCACCAACCCGATCATCTCACCAACCCGGCCATCTCACCACCCCAGCCATCTCACCACCCCGACCATCACACCACCCCGACCATCTCACCAACCCGGCCATCTCACCACCCCGACCATCACACCACCCCGACCATCTCACCAACCCGGCCATCTCACCACCCCGACCATCTCACCAACCCCGATCATCTCACCAACCCGATCATCTCACCAACCCGGCCATCTCACCACCCCAGCCATCTCACCACCCCGACCATCACACCACCCCGACCATCTCACCAACCCGGCCATCTCACCACCCCGACCATCACACCACCCCGACCATCTCACCAACCCGGCCATCTCACCACCCCGACCATCTCACCACCCCGGCCATCTCACCACCCCGGCCATCTCACCAACCCGGCCATCTCACCACCCCGGCCATCTCACCAACCCGGCCATCTCACCAACCCCGACCATCTCAACAACCCCGATCATCTCACCAACCCGGCCATCTCACCAACCCCGACCATCTCACCAACCCGACCATCTCACCAACCCGATCATCTCACCACCCCGGCCATCTCACCAACCCGGCCATCTCACCACCCAGGCCATCTCACCAACCCGGCCATCACACCACCCCGGCCATCTCACCAACCCGACCATCACACCACCCCGGCCATCTCACCAACCCGGCCATCACACCACCCCGACCATCTCACCAACCCGACCATCTCACCAACCCGGCCATCTCACCACCCCGACCATCACACCACCCCAACCATCTCACCAACCCGGCCATCTCACCAACCCGGCCATCTCACCAACCCGGCCATCTCACCACCCCGGCCATCTCACCACCCCGGCCATCTCACCACCCCGGCCATCTCACCAACCCGGCCATCTCACCAACCCGGCCATCTCACCAACCCGGCCATCTCACCAACCCCGACCATCTCAACAACCCCGATCATCTCACCAACCTGGCCATCTCACCAACCCGGCCATCTCACCACCCCGACCATCTCACCACCCCGGCCATCTCACCACCCCGGCCATCTCACCACCCCGGCCATCTCACCACCCCGGCCATCTCACCACCCCGGCCATCTCACCACCCCGACCATCACACCACCCCGACCATCTCACCAACCCGGCCATCTCACCCCCCCGACCAGCACACCAACCCCGATCATCTCACCAACCCGATCATCTCACCAACCCGGCCATCTCACCACCCCAGCCATCTCACCACCCCGACCATCACACCACCCCGACCATCTCACCAACCCGGCCATCTCACCACCCCGACCATCACACCACCCCGACCATCTCACCACCCCGGCCATCTCACCACCCCGACCATCTCACCACCCCGGCCATCTCACCACCCCGGCCATCTCACCAACCCGGCCATCTCACCACCCCGGCCATCTCACCAACCCGGCCATCTCACCAACCCCGACCATCTCAACAACCCCGATCATCTCACCAACCCGGCCATCTCACCAACCCCGACCATCTCACCAACCCGACCATCTCACCAACCCGATCATCTCACCACCCCGGCCATCTCACCAACCCGGCCATCTCACCAACCCCGACCATCTCACCAACCCGGCCATCTCACCACCCCGGCCATCTCGCCACGCTAACAGTATTTGCCCCAACAGTCTGTCAAAGGCTGTACGGGGGGATCTTTGTGTACACGTGTGTGAAAGTAACTATCTGTTTGTGTGCATGTGCAGGTTCGTCGGATGAGCTGTCGCTGGAGCCGGAGTCGGAGGAGGATCTGAATCCGGCTCCGGGCTCGCCGGACCGGCAGGCTGCGGGGCACCGCGCGAACACGACGATGCAGGTCTGCTGGCACCGCAACACCAGCATCTCCATGCTGGACCTGAACCGCGCAGTCGAGGTGAGACCGCGGCTCCGTCTTAAACCGCGGCGCACGGCGAGTCTCGCCACCCGTCCGCACTCATGCCAGCCTCTAGTCCACACTGCCACCGCCCGTACCGGTTGTACCCCACCCACACCACCACTTGTACCCGTACCGCCCAACCTCAATTCGCAGCACTTGCATCCTCATGCGTGCCCACGGTCTGCGACCCACGTCAGCCACATGGCGCCACCACCTACGCCAGCATCCTAACCAGGGCTGCGCGCCAAGTTTCTTGAGCCAAGGCCACGTTGAGAATCCCTGAGGGGCCCTCGTATGAGCTCCGAAAGGATCACGTGGGAACGAGCGGACGCGGTGATGCCGGTCACATGGTTTGTTTTGTTTGCTTGCTGATGACTCTCAATCGGCGTCACTGCCGCCTCTCATCACTAGCAGGGGGCGTTTCCCCGGAGCTGTTAGCGGGGGGGGTGGCGGCAAGGGAGCGTTTGTCGCCCGAGACCTTGAGCGAGCGCGGTCGTTATCGCCATCGTCCAAGGCCGGCGAGAAGGCAGGGTGGCCTGATCCTCCAGCCGTGAGCGTCGCGCTCCTGAGGCACGTATGCCAGCTCCAGGTGATGATGATAATAATATTTGGTACGTGCAACCCTATGTCACTTGGGGCTGCCAACCTTCCCGAATTCGCCGGGAATCTCTAACCAGAATTGGCATCGATCTCCCGGTGACGAATGAAAGCAATCCGGAAGATTTTTAACAGTGGGTTATTTGTAACGTGGGATACAGACTCGCAGCAAATCATTTGCGTCGTAGTCGCGAAAGTTAAAAGACCAACTCCTCTGCTTAAGGAGCGGCGGCGCGTCTGCGGGTGTTGCTGCGAGTGAGATGCACGCCGGTCGCTCGTGAATGAGCGGTGGGGACGCCTGTTCGTTTGCAGAACCAGCTGTCGGGGTATTTGCTGCGCAAGTTCAAGAACAGCAGCGGCTGGCAGAAGCTGTGGGTTGTCTTCACCAACTTCTGCCTCTTCTTCTACAAAACCCACCAGGTTGCATGTTTAATCTCGACCGTTCTACTGAGACCTTGTAGGGTCGTGAGTAAAAGCTGGAAAAAATTTGAAACGGAAGACAAATAACCTCCACACGTTTTTTGTTGTAATGTTCATCTTGTAAAAAATAAAAACCTAATTCTGTCGTGTCGATGACGACGTCGATGTTGATGATGGCAATGGTGTTGCCACGTCTGTAGGATGACTTCCCTCTGGCCAGCCTGCCCCTGCTGGGCTATTCCATCACAGTCCCGACGGAGGCTGACGCCATCCAGAAGGACTACGTGTTCAAGCTGCAGTTCAAGTCCCACATCTACTTCTTCCGTGCCGAGAGCGAGTACACCTTCGACCGGTGTGTGTATAGTAATATATTGTGGCGCTGTAGCAGCGGGTTATCATGCTGTGCTATGAACCCGGCCACCCGAGTTCGATTCCCGAGGGTACAATGGCCTACTCTTCCACATTGGACGAGCGTCTTTAAAGAGGGGAGTGCCCACACACTACCAAGCCACGCGACAAATTGCGGTGAACCGATTCGTTGTTTTTGAGCTGCCGTCAAGGGAGATCGAAACCAACTGGGGACCTCTGGATTCCAAGCCCGGTGTGCCGGTGTGCTGACCGTTACACCTCCACCCGATCCCTTTGCATTGGTATTTAGACGCTTTACCAATTCGCGTCGTCGCCGCTGTTGTTGTCGTTGCCGCAGGTGGATGGAGGTGATCCGCAGTGCCACCAGCTCGGCGGGACGCACGCGTCTGCTCAGCCGCAAGGATTCACGCCCCGTGTAGCGTGGGGGGCAACACCGCAGGGAGCCTGGGTGCCACCAGCACCTACAGGCCGAGGCCCATCGCCTGCCGTGAATAGCACGGGCACCACCACCACCTCGTACCAGCTGGGTCTCCCACCACCTTAACGAACAGCCTTGATCACACTACCACGTACAGCCTAGGTGTCACCAGCACGTACAGGCTGAGACCCACCACCACCACCACATATAGCCTTGGTCCCACCGCCACAATCAGGCTAGGTTCCACCATCACCCTGTAGAGCCTGGGTTCGACCACCACAAACGGGCTGCTACGCACCACAATGTACAGCCTGGGTCCCACCACCCACAGCTTGGGGTCCCACCACAATTGAGCCATCACCGTGTCTGCTGCAGCGGAACAGCGAGGGGCCTGCGTCCTCACACTGCCGATTCCCAGATGCGGCTGCATCGGGCACCTTGTGGCTCCAAGTTCAGGTCGGTCGCGATGAGCTTCGGCTCGGGATTATGTAATTGCAGGTGGCACGCCGAGCGGGTGATTAATCGATTTGAAATTGAAAACACATAGGGAGGTGTAGGCCGCGTGTATTCCGCAAGTCATGCTGCTGTAGCTCGGCTGTCGTCATACCAGTTTTCTCCGGAGGCTGGGTGGAGTTTTCTTGGTTGGGAAAACCTGAAGCGGAGCTCACCGATACCGGAACTGGGGCCGCATCACGCCGCCGTGCCACTGCGAGAGATGAGTTCAAAAATAGTGCGTAACAGTATGTGCCTCTGTGCAAAAAGTCGCTGAGAACGTTATTTTATAATCTTTTTTTTGTCTTTGATGATTTGTACGATTTCCCTTTTGGTGCCGGTAGTACGGGGGGGGGGGGGGGGGGGCACTGATAGAGGTAGTGTTAGTGCGTAGACCGTTGACGCCTTATACGGTGGTCGTTACCGTTAGATGCGTAAGGGTTAATCAAAAAAATGCCTACGACGCGCGTTTTTAAACTCGCTCCACTTATCGATAATAACGTTCCTTCGGTGACACTGCGAGAGTGAAATTTGTTACCGACTTACTTTGGTGGTTTGTATGCTGCTGCTGTGAAGGAGTTGGAGGGGGGGGGGAGGTGATTTCCGGTACCGTTTTATTTCCCTGCCGGTGCGCGCTTGTGCCATCCAGGAGCGTGACAGCATGGCCCCTGACGCAGCTTCCTTAGCTTGACAAAGCGAGCAGCAACCGTGAGAGTTCATTCGTTTGTTTCGTTGAGTTTCGCCGGGGTGAAAGTGGGCGCAAGCTGTTACAAAGATGGCGCGATGAGACCTTTTAAACGTGATCACTGAGCCAGCACCCTTGAGATCCGGACTTTAACTCGTAGGCCTTCGTGACCAATGTTATGATTCGTAATTGATTTATTCCCACAACTATGTGACCCATAAATCAATAATGTATTGTCGAATCCGAGCGGCCATGTGTGGTTAGTTTCATCGTCTCAACCCGGGCGTTATCGATTACACAAACACATTATTTTCAATTCACATTCAGCAAATTTGGTTTCCAATTAAATATGGCCAACCCCAACTTTGAGGGATAAAACAGACATTGGACGACTGACAGGTGGCAAACCGCTCTACACATTGCGTGACAGAGCGCAGCGTCGGGCGACCTCGAACTGAGGCGACCTTGGAGAAAGTATCTCCTCGGTTCCCTCCACGACGTTGAGGCTCGGACGACAGTAGCAGAGTCACGGCAGTAATCGTCCGTCTGGCCATGCTACCACGGTAGTGCTTACGGGGGATGTAGAGTAACCCTCCGGCATTTCTCTCGGGTTACGCCGTGGTGTCGCTCCTCACCATGTCCGACGTTTCGCTGCCCGTTGCCGGGAGCTTCCTGCTTCGGCCCCTGAAGGATCTTGTTCACCCAAGAACGCATTGGAGAGCTATTGCAGGACGAGGGTGGGGGGGAAAAAAAAAAACACCTCGGCGAGGGATATAATTGGTGGGCGATAAAATCCCACGGAGAGTCATTACGGTGGATGGGGCCGGGCGCGATCGCTCGCTTGGGCATCGCGATGCGAGGCGATCCGGGTCCTGCGTGCCGAGACGGAGCGCGTGCGGCGACGGCGGCGGCATGGAGATCGACGCCCGCCGGTGCCTCGCCAACCGTCAACTACTGAATGTCTGCGAGGAAGTATTCCGCAACTGCGCGCATTTTTGAATCGCTCCTTTTTGCAGTAACAGTATGAATGCAGCGTGTGCAACGATGGCGGGGGGGTCAGCCGAAAACCCGACTCGCCCAGTCTGCTTGCCTCACCACGGCCTCCTGGGCCACGTGGCTTGTTGGGGGCTGCCCAACGCTGCGTCAAGTAAAGCGACTTTTGGGGGGGGGGGGATGGGGTGGGGTGGGGACGGAGCCCCCACGTCGCCAACCGAACTTGCCAGGCGTATCGACAGCGTGGCGCCCGCCATTCAACGCTGAAGTGCTTGGCCAAGGAAAGGCTCGGCGAGTCTCGAAACAAATGTTTCTGGAAGTGCCTTGCTTCGAGGGATGTTTGACCAAGTTCCCCGAACGAGAGAGGCACGTGGGAGGGAAAACCAGAGAAAGCGGAGGGAGACCCACACCGGTGCAGCGAGATGAGTTCACAAACCCTCACTACCACCCCCCCCTCCCCGATACCAATATCTCCTGGCCACCTCGCAGACCAGTGGCTTTGGGAATCTCACTCGCATGTCGCAACGTGATCCATCAACCCTCGCTTGCTTCCAAAGCACCGGATTACAGACCTGTTCCTCATCCCTTCATCCAGCGAAAAAAACACCTTAAGAGAATCGAATCGACTCACGATTATAATCTGGACTCCGGCGGACTGTAGATTCTAATCCTAATCGAACCGCGACTCCCCCCTGCAGTAAGTTTTCATAGATGTATTGATCGCATTCTAAATAAGCATCTGATCAGCGCGTGGCCCGATGTCGATCCGATATTGATTACATCTCGTTCGTACTGAACCTCCTCGATTTGTTTTACCCGTTCTTGTCTCTCGGTACCTGGATGGAGCTGTTACACGGAATAACCGCCGTTTTTTTTGTAATATTTTAGCGAATCAGCTTTTACACGGCTTTTAAGTAGGACGTAAGGTTTATCGTGTTTGTTTTTGAGCCATGGAAGTCTGTGTGCGCACGTGTGTGTGTGTGCACGCGCGCGTATACACTTTAGGCGAAAGTAAAATTTTGCAAATTCCACACACTTAGGATTATATTCGTAACCCACCAAAGAGTTTGGGCGTAGATACCTCACAAAACAATCAAACGCATCATTTGTACCGATCTTGTATAGGAGAAGTTAACACTGTTAGCAAGGTTAGACGCAAGTGGTGGGAGAAATCTGTATTTTCAGTCGGCGTTTTCGTGTTTTATTTTATAAGAAGTAGTTACGGAACGGTACATGAAGGCAACAGCTCCTGTTTATATAAACGGCTTTGCTTTACATTAAAATAAAGAGTTGAGACGGAGGCGGCTCCGTGCGGTTTGCATCCAACGCCGGGACACGAGGCCACGCACGCCCATCACCTCGATGGGGATGGAACACCCTGACGATGGGAACACCCTGATGAGGAGGGGGGCAAATCCCCCCTTTACCGCCCCCCCCCCATTCTGGGAAGACACGGGAGACCCTGCGAGAGGTCGCAGACACGGCGAGGTGGTGTCAACGTGGGAGCACCTCGATGGGCAACGACAAAGCGGGTTCGCGGATGGGGCGGGAGGACGTGGAGACGCGAGGAGGAAGACCGCTGCACGGGAGAAGACGGAGACGTGGTGGAGAATGGAGACGTGGGACCGATGAGAAGATAAGATTGTGAACACCAACTTGAGAGTCCAGGTGAGTGTTTTGGTTGAGGTTTAGGATTGCCGCCAGGGTTCGGGTTTGGTGTTAACGAGTTTGACGATGGGGTGGGTGTTGCGTTCGGGTCATGATGTAACAGAATAATGCGGGATTTGTGAGTTACAGCTGTGCTGGGGCACAGCGACCTGTGTCTCGCACAAGGTCGCACGGCCAAGGGAATTCATCGGGGACACGGAATCCTTAAGAGATCCTCAATGAAGTCACGGCAGCCCATGGCACCGCTGTTGTTGTGGTCAATGGGCAGCTTTGGTAGTTACACACCTTCCTTCACCGTTGTTCAGTGCAGGCCCAGAGGCCCTACACCACAACGTGGCCGGCCTATAGTGCTATCGGCATGACTTTGTGAGACAAACAATCCACCCTCATCTCTTCAGAGCAGCACAGCTCTTGCATCCGACAAAATAAACTGCATTGGCACATGTTATAGAAACTGAAGACAATGGGGCGTCTCCATCTCTCATAGCAAAGCGATGAAGACGTCAACTATTATACGTGTTCCTTTTCGGCCAGTGTTATTGAGGAGTTTGTTGGCCTTCGTGTTAGAGAATGACCCATTGAAGCAGACACTACAGAGCTTACCTCTGGACATATCGTCACTTGACGTCTGGTCCGCACGGTAGGGGGGGGGGGCAGCACTTTCTCACCTGCTAGGCCACTGAAAGATACTCTTTGGTTCTCTCGGTAAATCCCTGCAGTCACGAAAAATTCAAATCAAGATTTCACTGAGAGATATGTTTGGCACATGGCTGTGAAATTGATAAGTTATTTTTGAAGCTGGAATTTAGTCAAATTAAGTACAGGGCCAAATTTAATGGGATTTTTTTTTTAGTCATTTGGTGATCGAACAGAGACCATCGACTCACTGCACTTGAGAACTCGGTTTCATCACAGGCAGCGGCCTAAATGAGAACCACGGATTCTCAGTGGTGCTTGTCGACCGCTCCGACATCCTCTGCCACCTTTGATGAGTAGTCTACCTAACGCTGATGGAAGACCAACTGGCACACAATCGGTGACCTATTCACTTCCGAGAGCGAAGATTCCTGCTAACAAATCACTTTGGGAGACTCTCTGTGATGATGAGGTGCTTTAGGATTGAGCTGTTCATTGGCCAGGGGATGCGTGGATTCTAAAATGTATCTGCGGAGCCTTGAGCGTTATCTCCTTGTTTGTGCGGGTTTCCTCCGGGTACTCCAGTTTGTATGACTGTGGTCATCCACAACAGACCACAAAAACATCACGATGCAATGCCCGATCCGCATATATACGAAAGGAGACATCACGGCGATACACTCCACTGCTCCAGACCCGGTTATCTGGCTTGACCGCCTGAATGTGAAATTGTAGTTATTACTCTGCATGAGTAAAAAAAAGTAGTTTGGAATGTGCCAAACATTCCAATGCAGGACCATTCTGAAAAAATAATCTTGATACCCAGTCTATAATAAATAAAAGGCATTAATAATATTAATGCTAACGGAGCTGAGCAGCTTATAACTCTGCCCAGGAAATTATCTGTCCATCCTTGGTTGGACACTTCAAACATTTTCTTGAAAAAACTTAAATAACCCCGCTCGTATAAATCCGTTAAGAATTTGAAGAAGCCGAGTTATTTATCCCGGCCTCTCAACGTGAACTCATTATATGACAGTTCGTCCTCAGGGGCTGATGGTGAGCTCTGAATGCAAGATATCATCAGGGAATGTAGGAAGTTGTGTACAGTTATGTAATTACGGTTTTAAATTGGCCAGATAGCCAACTGCTTCTCAAGAAATGTGTTGCTGGCGCGTGCGGTTTTTAGATATTCGGTCAATTCTCTTTTTTGTGGTTTTATTTTTTGGTATACCGTGGAAGGAAAGCGCCTGCATAAAAAAACCACCCATGCGCACACACACGTGTGGGTTATTGCACTCAAAACTTTGTTAGGTTTTCCGAGCGACAGAACGGATCCCGGGAATCGCCACCTTGCTACCCTGCAAGGTAAGGTGTCTCGTGAATTATGGCCCCATCTCAACATGATCCACCAACCCTGGCTACAAGTTGCTGCATTCAAGCCGCGCATCAGTCCCAGTCCATCTGTTGCTTGCGCTGAAGCTGAGCACTGAGAGCCTCGTGAGAGAGGAGAGGTAAACAGAGGTGAGTCCCGAGCGGATATTGAAGAAACCGAGTGCGATCTTGAAATTCATCCAGAATTCTACTGGGAGGGAGCAAGTGGAGGGCTCCGAGTATTGGGGCTGCAGGCAGGAAGTCTGGCAGTAGGATTTTTTATTTGGCAATAAAGGCCTGAAACGTAGCTAATTTCATTTAAATTTCAGACCACAGTGCCGTTGTTGATGAACGAATGTGTTGAGTTGTTTGTTAGTTGTGCTTGTATGCCACGGCCAACACAGCACCATCACCAAATGGGTGTAATTATGATGAAGGCCCATTGCCTGAAACGTTATCTATTATATTACATTTCCTCTTTCGGGCAGTGTTGAGCATTATTGACAAACGTGTTCGTCAAATTACGCGACATTGCTTTCATACCAGCCCAAAATCTAATCCTGGCACCACGCCACGTGCAACTTGGCACGGGGAATTACATTTTACAAATAAATATCATTGAACGTTTGTGGATGGCTCTTCCCCCGGTAGGGTAGTGGCGTGCAGAGAGGAGCTCGGCATGCCTTAATAAAGTAAAATAGGAAACACAAAGGACTTTGCTTGTCCGAGATGAGAATGTGAGAGAGTTAACTGAGTGAGATGAGAATGTGAAAGAGTTAACCGAGATGAGAATGTGAGAGAGTTAACCGAGATGAGAATGTGAGAGAGTTAACCGAGATGAGAATGTCAGAGAGTTAACCGAGATGAGATTGTGAGAGCGTTAACTGAGATGAGATTGTGAGAGAGTTAACCGAGATGAGAATGTGAGATGAATTAACCGAGATGAGAATGTGAGAGTTAACCGAGTGAGATGAGAATGTGAGAGAGTTAACCGAGATGAGAATGTGAGATGAGTTAACCGAGATGAGAATGTGAGAGTTAACCGAGATGAGAATGTGAGAGAGTTAACCGAGATGAGATTGTGAGAGAGTTAACTGAGTGAGATGAGAATGTGAGATAAGTTAACCGAGATGAGAATGTGAGAGTTAACCGAGATGAGAATGTGAGATGAATTAACCGAGATGAGAATGTGAGAGAGTTAACCGAGTGAGATGAGAATGTGAGAGAGTTAACCGAGATGAGAATGTGAGATGAGTTAACCGAGATGAGAATGTGAGAGTTCACCGAGGCATAGAGGTTTAACCGAGGCGGTTGTGATCAAGAATGCGCAAGGCTCCGGGTGCAGCGAGCCTCTCGTGTTGGCCTTATAAGGCGGTGGGAGAGGCTGAGTTCCTCACGCCCCGGGTACTAGACTACTCTCATTAGCGACGATGAGCTCAGTTTTCTTTGGAATCCGGCCTCTATGGATGTCTTGTAATTGGCCTCCTAGGGATAGCATGTCCCTGCAGGCAGCATGCTCTACATGGCCAGCATTTTTATAAAGAAGGCATGTTTTTTTTTACAGACAGCATGTTCACAGATATCATGGTTTTACATACACCATGCTCCGGCAGCGTGTTACTACAGGCAGCGTGTTACTACAGGCAGCGCGTTACTACAGGCAGCGCGTTACTGCACGCAGCGCGTTCCCTTGATAGCGTGCTCTTGCAGGAAGTCTTGCAGACAGCATTCTCTTACAATGTTCCTTGAGACAGCATGCTGCTACAGACAGCATGTCCATACAGGCAGCATGTTCCTACATACTACAGCATGCTGCTACCAAATGCTCCTGTATATTGCAAGTCCTACAGACAGTACTGTCATTTCAATGGCACTCTCCTTCAGACAGACCGCTCCTGTCGTGTGCGTCTATACAGGGTGCTTCAAAAAAATGTGAACATTTCAGAGAATTTGCAACAATACCGCAAGAAATGTGCTGCCTCCTGGCTCTAGGGACCACCTGGAGAAGATTCCAGGAATGTGTTCACAATGATGGCGAACAAGTGGAGGCTCCTTGACTTTTTGAAGCTATGAGCATCCGTTTGTTATCATGTTACAGTGCATTATGATCCGTTCTTTATCCATCAAAAACGATAGTCCCACGTAAGTGTTAACATTGGTTTGAAGCACCCTGTATATAATACACTCTTACAGCACATTCCTCAACAGCAGTGTGCTCCAACAGACCGCAAGCTCTTACAGAAAAGCAGGAGTCTAAAGATAGCGTGCGCCGAAGACGTCTTACAGACAGCACGCTCGTGTGCAGCATGCTGCTACGGTGACATCCTGCGTAATGGTGATTCGGCACATTCCTACAGCAAGTGCGTTTTTTTTTTTTACACCGTACAGCATAGCTTACTGCATGTCCCCTCCTGATAGATGGCACCGATAGAAAAATTGGCCGAGCGCGCCGATAGAAAAATTGGCCGAGCGCGCCAATAGCCCCCTGGGTATCGGTACGCGGTGTCCGAGGACACGGGGAGGAGAGCCGTCCCTAGGGCACGGCGAATCGGCGGGCGACCGCCCCGGGCCCCGCGCTTTGGGGGGCCCCGCGCTTTGGGGGGGCCCGCGCGCGCTTCGACAT